AGGGAGGCAACATGGAGGAAGGATTTGATGGGAGAAAGGGCTCACAAGGGGGGTTGTGTTGGCATCTGTGCAAGGAATGGTGATGTTCCAGGAGGGCGAATGCTGAGATGGGCAAGCTGGCCGATGCCACAGCATTATTCAGAGTGGTCAAAATTAAAACTGACTGTGCAGAGGTGCCACAGGATCTCATTATTCTGAGTGACTGGAGGTTAAAACAGCAGCTGCAGTTCACTGTTGATAAAGGAAGAGTAATGAATATAGGGAGAAGCAACTCCAGCCGTACGTATGCAATAATAGGCTCTAAATTCGCTATTACCATGTAAGAAGATCTTGGAGTAACTGTGGATAGTCCTTCAAAAACATCAGCATGAGGTTCTGTGGAGGTCAAAAAGGCAAGGAGAGCATTATGAATTATTAGGAAAGGAACAGGTAGCAAAGCAAATGCGTGTTATGCCAGGGCACTAATCTTGAGAGCCTACGCCTTGTGTGCTGTGTGCGATCCCCGTCCACCTCGTCTGAGAAAGGAGTAGTAGTTTTAGAAACGGAGAAGAGTGGAGTTGCAAGGATGAACAGGGACACAGAATGGCTTCTGGTGGAGAGGGGAATAAAAGAGCAGGGCTCTGAGGCTTGTAAAAGAGATGTCTGCCGGGGATAAACCACAGATGTCCAAAGTGATGAGCAACAAGGAGAAGACAGTCAAGAGCTGTCCTCTTGTCACTACTGTTCAAAACACATGAAGGAGGGGGTGTCAGATGGCCATATCAGGCAGCAGATTTAAAACAAAGAGAAGGAAGTGGTTTTTTCATCCAACAGATAATTAAACTATGGAAGTCACTGACCAGGATGTTGTGGGTATTTATCCTAAGGGATAAATGGATTCAAAAAGCAATTAGATAACTTCCTGGATGAAGATCTCTCTAAAGCTATTAATGACTCTGATGTAAATACAGCTCTGTAAATACAACTCTGTAAATACTTGCCCTGTTTCTCATGCTCCTTCCCTGAGCACTTGCTACAGCTGACTGGCAGAGACAGGAGTCTGGGCCACACGGGCCTTTGGCCAGATGCATTATAACCACCTTTAAGTCCGTGCCACCATAGTTGCTAATGGACCCTGCTGACACCTGTGTGGATGGAGTAGAGCGGTCTTGTTCTCCCATTTTCCAGAAAGGGGATGGAGAGACAGAGTAGCTGAAGGGTCTCACCTGAGAGACGAATAAGATGGACACTCCCTTTTCACAAGGAGTCCCATGGAGAGGACAAGGGGGAATGGACACAACTTGCTCTTGGGGAGATTCCAATTGGACATGAGAGGGAAATTTTTCACCATGAGAACAGTCAGCCATTGGAATAATCTCCCCAGAGGAGGGGTTGACTCCACCTCATTGGACACTTGCAAGATGCAGCTGGACAGGGTGCTGGGCCATCTTGTCTAGGCTGTGCTCTTGCCTGGAAAGGTTGGACCAGATGATCCTTGAGGTCCCTTCCAACCTGGGATTCTACAATTCTATGATTCTGTGATCTCTAAGGGATCCCATGAAAGGAGTCCAGGTGCCCTATGTTACCTGGTTCATTTTTGGTACCTGCATGCTAAAAATGGCCATAGCCTCCTTCCTTCCACCTTTCTCTGGAGACAGCTTGTTTGCAGTGAAATAACTGAAGAGATCATCTGTTTGCAAAAGCCTTTACGTTCTGCAGCCGGGGCAGCTCTAATGGCAAGTGTTGTTATTCTCATGCTGATTGTCTCCAATTTACACAGGGCTTACCAACATGAAAATGAACCCAGCAATGACTTGCAGGGACTGTGTATCCACCTAATGAGTATCAGATGGGTTGTTCTCCCTCCCCCAGAGTTTCTCCCACCTAAGAAGATTTATGTGGCTGAACGTGTTTGTTCTGATCAATTACCATGTTGCAGACACGAATACAAATGCAAAGGGAAGAAGATTACGCTCGCGATCCAAAGCCCACTAAAGTCAGCAGAAAGGCTCCTGATGTTCACAAACAGGCTTTGGCCACGGTGAAAAGGATGAAACTTTTGATCAGCTTCAGTGAACAAAGCACCTTGTTAGTCAGGGACAGTTTTTATATAAGCCCGAACCATTTATCAGCGAATATATCATTGCTCTCACCTCTCCTAATGGGAGGATTAACATGCAGTTGTGGAAGGCATGAATTCAGCACTGGATCTGGTTTGATGTGATTGCTTTTCACGCATCTTCTAGTTGACAAGAAGCATGCAACAGAGCCAAAGACATTATTTTTAGGGGTTTTGCTGTCCAGAAACTCAGACTGAAGGAGCAGGTATCTGGTGTGTGTTGCTGACCAGAAGTATTTCACCACCAGGATACAGGGGGCTGAAATCAGCTTTTAATAAGTTCTTCAATCTTCAGGGTCGCTAAGCTGAGCATTCATTAAATTAGTGCTACTGGAAACATCACAGAGCTGAGATAATTGTACCGGTGCTCAAAACTCTGCTCCTCCCACACCCTCTCCTACAGAAGGATGGAAAACCTTGGGCCAACGTTTTTGAGAGCTTAAGGTGGATACAGGGATATTCAGGAGTGTCGAAGAACTGAGTTTATTTTCTTTATCTTTACCCCTATAAAAACCAGGCTACTGCTCCATCTGGGCTCCTGCTATAATTACGTGAGCGAGCTTATCACGTGAAGAGGATGATTTAGCCCACTTCATGACAAAATCATCAAGTCAAATAGCTGAAGTTAAGAGAAATGGCATGTTAGAAGTTGTACCCATGAAGCAGACAGGCTCAGCTCATGTGGAAAGGCATCTGAAGCAGAATTTGGGTCTCAGGGCTTGTGGATTAGAGGAATGGTTTTGCAGCGGGTGCCTGGGTTTTTACAGCGCTGCCTAACTCCCTCTCTGCTCAGGTTTTAAATCACTTTCCGCAGCTGACGGCCCCTCGAGCCCTGCCGACAGCTCTCCTTTTCCTCACCAACCAGGCAGGGAACAAACCGAACGTGGTTAAAGAGGCAAATGGGGAAAAGCAGATCTGATTTGAAAGGAAAACCGCGTGATCTGTAGTTTGAATAGGGACTCCTGGCTCTGCCGTTGCCTCGTGCAAATCGCATCCCCTTTTCTGCTGCAGTTTTCTCAGCTATAAAATACGATAAGACTTTTCCCCCCGAGGATAGTCACAAGGTATCAGGAATTAACTGGTATTAAAGCGCCCTGGGAGAACGGTCCTTTGCAAGCGTGAGCAGCCTCCAGATTGGACACTCTGAAACCGATCTGCCCCGATGGCGTGCAGGGGCTCTACCAGTGCTAAACACCTCCTGTACTGGGAAAAGCCAGCACAAGGCATCACGACATATCACCGGTGAGGGATCGTCAGCCGTTGCTGCGTCACTGGCTTGCGAACGGCTCCCACTCTCGACTTCATTTATTATCTTTGTGTAGGAGGCTCCAAGTGCCTTCCTTTCACTACCAGGATAATATGTTTGGCCTGTTCCTGCCCTGGGGGAATTAGCAGTAAAATTCCCAGTAATTTAATTGTGCGTACAGCCTAGACATTCATTCATTCAAACAGGATGCCATCGCCAAGGACACCGATAGCACATGGATCCAAGGTCACCGCAAGGTCACTTGCACGATTCATGCAAATTCTTGGCTGAAACGGGGTCGGGAAATGTCTTTAGATCCTGCATCTGAAGAGGGTCCAGCAGCACTGGCTGGGATGCAGGCACGTAGCTACAGTAACACCATTTTAGTGCCAATAGTATTGATTTTACAGTTGAACTCGATGGTCTTCAATGCCTTTTCCAAACTAAATGATTCTGTGATTCTGTGGTTGCTGAAGCAACATTTGCTCTGTATATATCTTCATTTTCCCCTCTTGTATGCATGTGGAACCAAAAAGAAAAAAAGAAAAAAAATTAGGAAGATAGATAAACATATTATGGGTCTGGACCCTCCATCAAATGAGGTGAGTAGGAATTCAGCCATGAACTTTAGCAGGTGCTGACGAGTTGCACAGGGGACTACAGCCGTTTCCTTACTCATTAATTAATGCGTTAGCTCAGGGTAGCTGCTGGCGGAAGGGGCTTCATACATTAATGAGAAAGACATCTCTCAAAGTAGCGTATGAAGAGGGAAGGGCGACGTTTCCCAGGAAAGCTGGCTGTCTCAGGAAACGGGTTTGTATTGAATTTCTTATTTGCCACATGAAGAACTGGAGATAGGGTAGAAGAAAAGATTCAAACCCACCGTGGAAGGAAGCTCTCATTCGGAGCAGGGGCCGCACAGCACTGGAGATGCACATTGCGGTCAGAAAGGTGCGGTACCGGGCTGGGTGCATTTTCTGCTGGTACCTCTTCTCCCTAGCGTTGTTCTCAGAGGTTGCACACAGAGGTCATAGGGGCAACTAGATGTGCTCTTGGCGTTCAGGCGACAGCAGCCAACAGGAGGACCTTCCTCTTTGCAGAGGGGCTGCCGCATGCGTTTAGAGGCTTGCGCACACTGGGTGAGTGACGGTTGCCCTTGCAGTAGCAGGCAAGTTTTCGGTAAAATTACTGTGGTTGCAAGAAGGATTTGTCAGGGTTAGTGTTCATCTCCTGTCCAATTTCTGGAAGCTAGCCCCCAAAATTAACAGTGGCAGGTACCTGGCACTTACACACACCGGTTTTGCTGAGAAGTCAAGGACTGAATAAGCAGTCACAGCAAATGTCCCTTTTCACTCTCAGACATTGTCTCTTGGTGACAGGACTCAGGTGTCCTTCTGGGGCCACGGGAGCATGTGGAAAAGGCTGAGAAGGACAGGGCATTGCATGGAGCCAGAGCTTGCAACTGATCTCCTCCTCTTACCTTCTGTGTCTATTTATTCTGCAGGGATTTCAGGGCTGAGCTGTGAAATTTTGAGTCCAAGATTTCTTTGTTCTCCCAAATCTTCACCACCTTGGGATAGAGTTTGATTTCCCCGATCAGTCTGCAATGAGAGACCTGAGGTTTGATCCTGCTATAACACCCTCCTTATGCCGTAGGTGGACAGCGGGGGACCTCTGGTTTGCAGCTACTGGAACACCATGAAGTGGTTTCAGGTCGGCATCGTCAGCTGGGGACAAGATTGTGCAGAAAAGCCAAACCATGAGATCTTCATATCTGTTTACAACTACCGTGGCTGGATCGAGACCGAGACAGCCATAAGGGGGAAACCTTTCTTCATTGAAGGCATGGATAATGACGCCAATGCTGGGGTGGTTCTTTCCAGGGCTGAGACACAGCTGGTGTTTCTTCAGTATTGTCTCCTTTTATTTATCTCTTTAATAGCAACTAGGTTACTCTAGAGAAGATTTTTCAAAACATAATAAAAGTCAGAACTACTGTCTCGTTCTTCTGCTGCTGACCCATACGGTTGTGTCGACCTGCTCCATCTCACCGATGTGGACACAGATGCCAAAATGAGATGCCACAGTGAGACAGGGAAGTGATGGAGGGGATGTAGAGATGAAATTAGAGAGCCGGGACACAGACAAGAGAGGCCATAATCCTCTGAAAACCACAAGTTTTCCACATTGGTGGGTCACATCCAGCCCAGTTATTTGCTAAGCTCAGATGCAAAGTCAAGATGTGGCTGAAGAGAACTGAGCTATCCCTAAAACGTGGGCTACAGAAGTCCTTTGGCTTGGTAATTAGCCAAAATTAAACCCTTGCAAGTAAATGGTAAATCAAAAGCAAACAGCATTTTTTTTTCTCCATTAGATGCCTTTTACATGCATTGCTGAGAGGTCCACATCCCAGCCTGAGCTGGGACTGAGCTGATCCTTCATGCAATGCATGGGCCTTCACTGCTTCTCCAGCAACAAAATGCGTTCTGGTCTTCACAAGGAGGTTGCTGTTCTTGGAAGCGATGGGGAAGGAGGCAAGCAGCAAGGTCTCCTTCATGTCCCACCTTCGCAACAACATAAAAGCACCTATAATTTGCGGCAATGATAAAACTCAGTGAATGTGCAATGGGACAGAACCTCACAAATTGGTTTTAATTACCTTGATATTTTCTGGCTAGCTGGTGGAGAAGCCTTGTAAATGAGAATTAATTCATCTACCTTAAGCTAATGCAAACCCATCTTGGCATAAAAGTCAGACTTTATTTTCTGTGTTATCTGAGCAGAAAATAATGCTTAATTATTATTAGTTCTGAGTAATGCTTATGAAAATTGCTCCACATTAATTTCACATGGCTGACTGGCTAATGGATGCATAAGGGTCTTGTAACCCTTTGCAAAAAGACTAATAAAAGCTAAAAACAAGGGGAATATATTACTTTAGCAGCTATTAGGAGTAGACAGTGTCTTCTGGCATTAATACCTATATTTATTTTCCTTTCTATTAATAATATATCAACAGCTTCTAGAAGCCGTGGCAGGGGCTGGACATTAGGAAATATTTCCTAATGCTGCAATCTATTGAGCTACAGAATTGTTTCCCCCAAAGGAAATGAGAGATGTCCTCCTGCTTGAATTATTTTAATGTAGGGATTGTATAAAGCACTCTCATCTGCAGCACATGGCATAGAAAAAGCCTGCGCTTACAGGGAACTGCAAAAGGACCCAGTAGGTCTTTTTCCATCAGTAGCGTTTGCAAACTGATAATGGTCTGTGTTAAATGAAGGCGATGCTACTTAGTGGTTACAGCAGGGCACTGCCGCCACGGGGTTTGATCCGTTCTGCTGCTCATTTACCCAATGGCCTTGGGGAAAGAAAGTTTGTGCCTCGTGCCTCAGTTTCCCTGTTTGTAAACTGAGATAAAGTGGTTCGCTTTGCTCTATGGAAACATCAGTTCTGCAAAGTAAGACCAGCTACGTGGCTGCAAAGTAAGAAAGAGTAAAGAGACTTTTTACTCCTTGTTCAAAACATCATGGAGTTCATTAAAGCGCATTCATCTTTGCTGCTTCATAACACCGTTCAATAATTAGGGTGAGCAAGGAAACGCTTGTTTAAAATTTCTATGCTGTGAGTAGGTCTGATGAAACACATTGATGCCGTATTTTGTTTCAAAGGTGTTTGTGTTTTGAGAGAGCGCGTCACTTCTGGTTACGGATTTGATGGGAATGTGTTGGAGTCACACAAAGTCAAAAATGCAATATATCGGCTTGCTCATTAACATTTCAATGCAACCCATTAGCTTTTTAAGCTTTACAACACTGGTGTACTATGTTTCTTATGTTCTTGCATTCCATTTTTGTGGGTTTAGATTATCGAAGTGAAAAGTTTCCAAACTGAACTACCTCGAGTTTTATGCCTCAAGCTATATTTTGGGATGTTTGCTTTTTGTCTTAATTTGCAGCTCATTTCTTATTGCCCCTTCCCTCTTTCCAGATACCTCTTCCTCATGTCCAGTCAGCCCAATGGAGAGCATCAAGCAGTCTGGGCAAAAGAAATATGGTTATTGCAATATCCTTTGCTCAGTGAGCAAAACTGGACAAGGTAAAAGAAGAGGTTGCTGCATGGAGCATGGTGATACAAGGCAATGCACCAGAATACAGATGTTGTTCTCAGCACTACACGTGTAGCAGCAAATACCAGAAGAGAAGCAGGCTCTGGAAATACTTAGAGACCTGGGGAAATACCTGTAAGGGATAAGAACAAAAGCACCTCCACCTCCTGTGAGCAATGAAAGCGGCAATTTAAAAGCCAGTATACCAAAACAATTTTGGCTTAGTTCTGCAGAAATTAAGGGCTCTGTGTATACACGTGTCCTTCCCTGCCTGCCCCAGCCCAGCTGGCCATTTGCACGCAAGCTTGAGCAGAGAGATGGAAGGTTTGAAGATGATGGTGTTTGTGCAACTTTGGCGGCAAGAGCTGGCTGCAGATGAGAAGTGGGGAGGGCTCCAAGTAAGTAGGAGAGTTGTGTGGCTCCACCTTGAGAAGGACGCTTGGAAGAGCATCAGTCCAAGGTCACAAATAACGACCGCTGTAGAAATCCCATCTTTATTCAGGGTGACGATCCCAGACCTCTCTCGCCCAGCTCCTCCTCAGTAGATGAGCCATGGCAGTTCCCAGTGCGATCCTTTTAGAGGGATTGAGATGTCCCATTTTTCTCCTTTTCCAGCCTGTGCTTCCTCACAGGGGTGAGACACGATGAAAAGCACGGGCTTGTCTTCTCCTTCTCCCTCCAGCATCCAGGGCTGTCCCTCTGCGGAGAAGGCAGATGGCACACATGGCTGTGACGGCAACCGTTGGCGTCCATCTGTCGGTTTGTATGCACTGCATGAAGTGTGTTTGACTTCATGTGTGTCTTTGGCTGCCTAACTTCAATGCAAGCAAAATGTCGGAGGGCTTCTTTCTCTCCCGTGTTTTTGTGCACCTAACAGGAGATGAGTGAAAAAGCACCTGTGGGTATGGTAAAAATCATTGGTCAGGTCTTTAATTGTGTCTTTTGTTGATGGTAAAGTAGATTAGAGGTGGAGACTGAAGGCCGTGGTGGGTCTGACCCATTCCCACATTTCCCAGTGACTTCCCAAGTGGCTTTCTGGACAAGACATTTTTCAGGCTAAGGACTCAGTTTACCCTTCCGTAAGCACGACAATAATTGAAAGCCAGGGCTGTCTCAAGGGATGCACCAGTTGTGATAGTGATTGATCTTTGTTGATAGCTAAAGTGAAGATAGCTCTGGGACAGAAAACACTGCTGCCAGTATTGAACTACTTGATTTGTTCAACAGCTGCTGAATGCTTCTGGTGTTAGGCTGAAGAGATGCTTCAAGGAGGTGGATTACGGTCTGGAGGAGAGCCTGGCTTTGGGATGAATACAGGAGGGAGGTTGGCAGCCCTTGACATGCCTATCCAAGCCATTGACATCCCTAAATTCACCCCAGAAATACAGCCACACCTTTCCCTGCAATGCAGGGATGCTCAAGCATGCCAAATCTGTGCTGAGCAGTGCCCACCCTTTGCATAGCGGCCGTGCCTGCTGACCTTGGAGAAACGCCGATTCTGCTTGAAGGATTTTGCTCAGTTGCCATTTTTACTCTTTCAGCATTTCATTGCCAGGGACATCCCTGTGTTTTTCTCTGGTCTGGCAGTCCTGTGGCAGCCCCCACTGTTGATGATCATGGATGGCTTGTCTAAACCATGCTTGAACTGCCCGTCTACTTCAGGAGCACCAGCTTGGCCACCTCTGGGCAGATCATCCCTTGCTGTTCTGAGGATGGTGTACACCACTCTGGGGGGTTATTAGGGCTTGCAGAATGACCCAGCTGGCAGCAGCTGAAGGTACCACAACCTGCAGCATCACGAAACATCCTCTGATTGGGCACTTCCAAGCAACTGCCTTCAAAGTGTCTGCCTCCCATGTCCTTTTCTGAGAGCAGTCTTGTGCTCGCTAGCACTTTTGGTATTCACATCTGGTTGCTTTCTCCACGTCTCATCATGATTCACTGCTTCAAGGGCTCTTTAATATGCAATTCACTTTGTTCCCACAGCCCAGACCACTGAATGATTTAGCATGTGGCTACAGAGGAGAAGCACTGCATTTGGCTCCTCTGCTGGGAAGGGTAGGCTTCAAGACACCACTGGAAAGTAAAAGTTCCTCTTCCTCAAGGCTTTTGAACGTATATGTCTTAACACTAACTCTGCAGACATTAATCACAGCGTAAGCAACTCCAGAGCTAACGCTTGTGCCTCCAGATCAGGCAAATGGGGAGGGAAGGGCGATACGGTGGCTTAGGCACTGAAGGCAGACACAGGGGCATAAATTCAGCTCTGCAGCAATCCTGTGAGATCCTCGAGGAGCTCTGTAGGGTTGCCTATGAGGAGGAGTAATTCTTGAAAATCGAGACAATCAGTTGTGAGCCATCTGAAATTCCTTTGGAGAGCTATCGGGAGGAGAAAGCGTTGCTCTTTGTCCTCTCGCCTTTGATCGCAATGGGAGAGCATTGGAACGGATTTGTGCCTTGAACATAGATGGGAAGGAATTTTCTCACCGCACACGTGAAAAGCATTGCTTCGGTCTAGGATGCATAAGAATTTGGGAAAAAGATAGGAAAGTGAGCGTTTCCACTGAAGAGGATCGCCTCAAGCAAAACTTTTGGGAGCAACCTTGGTCTGAACAGAATCATGGGGATGAGCCAAGGGAACAATAGGAAATGATCTGTTGATCCTGAGCACAAGTTTACAAACAACCCCTGAAACACAGTGTGCTGGGCCAGTGGTCTACATATTCCTTTATTTCAGGCTGCACTAATGATTTGCCCTGTTTTGCACCTTTTTGACCACAGACTCAAGGTAAAAGTGATGCTACACAGAGCAGAAAGCTTTGTTAGGGTGGGAGGGGACCCAGGAGGGATG